GGCTTGGGTTAGGCTGTCCATAAACACGAGCATGTTTGTTACGCAAGAACGGTTTGGGAGAAATCCGTGTTGAGCTGGAGATATCAGATTGCTGGAAGTAAGGTGATCTAGGATGGCTCGCTTCAGAATGCGTTCCATCACCTTGCACGGCACGCTAGTGAGGCTTATAGGCCTATAGCTGCCAGGCGATAGTCGGTCACCAGTTTTGTATATTGGCGTGACAATCGCTTGACAATCGTTTAGAGGCTATCGGTGCACACCAATGTAACCAAGCCAGTTTCTGAGCTCCATTTGTCCGCCCTGAACCGAATTTCCCTACCTTGTCGGCGGAAAGCTCATATAGCTGAAAATTAAAGGCTGCGACAGTATCCCTGCCCCATTTTCCGAATTCCAGCTCTTGAACTGAACTGAACAGAACTAAGGCATCGGGGCGCACGTTTCGTAACTAGTCGGCTGTGAAAGATGGACCCGGTTGACGATCCGGATGTAACAATGTCCCGAGCCAATGGTGAAGCACAGATTGAGGAAATAGTCTTCCAAGCAACCGAATCTAGTGGACGTAAGTCTTAGTGCTGTGGCATATATCGACTGTTGATAGTTCATCCGCAAATATGATTTATAAACTCCACTGGGCTGTGACTGGTAGGTGGGACGGGTCTCGTGTAGTCCATAAAATCCTAGGAAGGCACCTTATAAGAGAAGTAAGATGGAGGCAGAAGAACCTGTGAGAGAAGAGACAAGCATGAATGGCAATCTCCGTCGGGGTTCGTCACCTAAACCAAGTAAAGTCTGGTATTCTCATCCTTGAGAAAAGTGGACTCCGTCCACATATTCCTCAGTCCTTCTGGACAAAATGTAGCATACCTTGGTTCAAGTTCAGACTCTAGCTTGCGATTCTTCGGTCAGGAACTATCCACCTTCGGGTTCACGCTTCGCTCGCAAACATTTCAAGATTTCTCCCAGAGCCTCCAATCGGTGGTGCGATAGACGGGTGCGCCGCGATGTGTCAGGTCTTTTCATAGAGTGACGTAACAGTTGTGCTTGTGCCGCACGCACTCCGGTGTATGGACGTAAACATTAAGGTACAACAGCCTTTCGGTATCCATTAGTCAAGTTTGTTCGTATTAGCTGTTTCATAATGAGTTTCCACCTTACAACGAACGGGGTCCATTTTTCGCTTATTTTGTGTGCGTTTTCGGCTGCTCGGCAAGGATTTCAATCCAGGAATATCTCCAACACCAGATACTGCGTCGGTTAGGCCATGGATTGCGTATGTCGAACCATCTTTTGCCGAAGAGTGCCGGTCTCCGTGCATAAATCAGAGTGGCGGAAGCAGAACTGACCAACATTTGACGTGGGGAAAGAGTAGAAAAAAGATTGAGAAAGGTCTGGTTGTTGCCGCTGCGGCGCCTTCCTTAACAAGGACTGTTTGCTCCCCACTGCGCCCGGTTGGAGACGCTGAGAGATATGGCTGCTACTCGATGCCATTGGCGTTCTTGTTTCCACTGCTTATTCAGATTGCCTGAATGAGTGTCTGAAGGTGTACGCACCTCGGAACGCTTGTGGCAAACTAACTCTTAGTCCCTTCGCCGTCCGCTGTTACTCTTCACAGTATGACTCAAGTAAATCATGGTTGCACGGTAGCAAAGCGTGACCGTTGAACACTGATGTTTTGTTGTCAATGTTGATAATGATGGTCTGTACACCATAGGACGCGCTGCTACACCCATCCACAAAAATCAGTTTTCTTCATTCTGGCCCAACAACGTACGCACCAGAGGGCATGAAATCCACATACCATTTCACATGTGAAAATCAGTCAAGTGGCCACCGAAAAAGATTGACTACTGATAAACAAGAAAGTGGAGTTTGTTTTCTGAAAAGACCAACTGATTTTAGCCGAATTCTCTTCGATACAGGAAAATGGGGCCAATCAAACTTTCTTCTGCTACTAAAGTAGTGTCTGAAGCAACTTCTGATGCCTCATTTTGCCGAAGGTAGATGTCCTGGATAATTTGCAAAGTAGCTCTTTGCATTTCGCCGAAATGCTCTTGTCTGACCCCCTGCCCCGTCGAGCCGTTTTGGAGATCCCATTCACTGCCTTCTTTTAACATGTTCCCATCAGAAGAAAATAGCAAGGGTGGGTGTCCTTGCGTTAAAACGGATCAGGCAAACCATTAGTTTCCTGCCTAGGTGGCTCTGCTAGACCTCAATTTCAAACCGGCAACCGGAGCTTGTAGGAACTGGCGGATTCAGTGGAAGAGGTCAGCTAGGAATCGAATATTCAACAGCTTTCATGTATTCCTGGCTTGCAGGTCTCACTTGGCTGTTCAAAGGATAGATATATCCATTGAAGCAGAATCCGAGTGGCACTGAAGGCGACCATGTAATAAGTTCCCAAGAAACTTCATTGTCTATCATGATTGCCTTCCGTATCGCGGCGCATCCAGAAGGCGATGCACCATCAACTTCTCTAGTGGTCGGGGTTACTAAGAAAACCGTTTGAGGGAATCACTCGGAATAATGCTTGAGGGAGGACATGTCAACTCTAGTGCGTCATGCGAATGGTGAAGGGGTTTGAGTGAGTGCCGAAGAACGAAGAGCTGCAGCGGCCAATGATATCTACCCAGATCGAAGAACAGGGTTCAGTTGGAGTCATCATCATCAGAGACATCAATATCAGTGCTAACACTAAGGCGTTACTACCATACCTAAGTATCATGATTTTACTTGGATTGGTGCTACTGCCAGGGCGCCCAGGCCTAGATAGGTTGGAATCCTCCACTCAGAGCCTTCGGATCAAAAGTCTGGCTCATCAAGCGGTGGAAGGTCGTAGGGTTTTGTTCAGGGATCATCATCAGCTTTAAAAACCGCGTCATTGTCGTACAGTGGTTGGAGCTTCCAAATTTTCGTCCGAGGATCATTCCCCGAGCTTCCTACTCCAATTCTAGATTGTAAGACAAGTTGTTACGATTTTCTTGGGAGACTACAAGGAACCGATTACCCAACACACTGACCCACTTAGTTTAAAGGGGATTGCTTGGCCCGAGTAAGGTATAACTCTAATTCGTGCTTCGGCTGCTCACAGAGGTCCCTTTTGAGTAGTCTCCAACTCATTGGCTTTAATATTTTTTGACCGTATTGAAGAATGCGCTGGCGGTCTCCGTCAATCGTTGAGCGATGGGTGCGGATTTTGGTGCCGATTCTTTATAACTCTTCCTTGCTCAGGCATCATCGCTGCCTCCATAACATGGGCACGCTGGTCGCCGGAAAGAAATTCCTTACTCCTTACACTCCAGTCGCTTAGTATAGCAATCCTTTACCTCCAGACCATTTCGTAATACTACCTCTCGTAGTATGGGGATAGCGAAGTGCTTCCATATGTTTAAGTCTCTTCCCTAACCCCCACCGCAAAAAAGAATTAACCAATCCGCTGGCGACAACTACCACGTTTTAAGTTTATTGGAAATGACCGGTAAAATCTTCGTCGCCGTTTACCCTCAACGTGCACATGCCTGACTAAAACTTGAAGGTTTTCGACTGGAGAAGTGGCTGCACTTACGGAGCCTTCGCAGTGCATTGTGTTCTGAAAAAAAAACGGTTTACGCTATTACCTACTTCATTGAATTTTTGTCTAAAAAAAAACGGTTTACGCTATTACCTACTTCATTGAATTCCGTGCTGCGTTCATATGACGAAATGCGTCCTTATGCATAACGAAAACACATCAGCCTTAAATATGCAGCTGGATTCGATAGGATGTACCTGTCCTCGCGTGTTGTTCAACTCCGGGATTCGCTGGATAATGCATCAAGCTGCCAACGGATACCACGGAGCGCATTTGGGCAGAGTACGTTTATCACGAAGCTCAACAACTGGTGTCCTCTCTATGTCTGCAATTAGTTCTGGCCACGAAGTACTGGTGCGACTTATTTAGATATTCACATCTCTTGGACCAGTCGTCTCTCCGGGCCAGGTTTGAGGTATTGATTCTCCCGGGTAATACCCGTTCTTATGGCCGAAATGCGTACGAATATACCCGTATGTTACCCCATGCTCACGAAATGGCCGTTGCATGTTTGACACACTCCCAAGGTGGTTTCCGATCATCGGTGTCCCTAAACCACGTGCAGGACTAACAGCCCTGCCGTCGTTGCTGTCGAACACTGAAATGTCGACTCCGACTCTTCGTCGCCAAGATACGTTTATGGTCGAGACCATTTCGTGCCTGAATTCTGTGACAAGGTTGGCATTACCAATGAAGTTTCCAGTCCAAAACCCAGACCGATGATGTTCGATGCTTAGGTCCACAAGTCGGCTATGACGCCTACCAATACCGTTATTGGACGGGATCTACGAGAACCTTGCCATCTATTGCGTGTGCAGTTTCCGCAATTGAGCTGTATTGAGTTGTGTACTTTTGGCAGTCACAAAGAGACCGAGCGTTACCGTAGTGTGACGGTTTGTGTGTTTCTGCGACTTTCTGCGACGTTCAACTTTAGCACTCTCTCGGTGCCTAGCTTCCGTGCTAACAGAAAAAGGTACGAGGGCTGGGATACTGCCAGGTTACTCAAACCTAGACAGGAACAGTCGAGATGCATAGATGGGTTAGAGCCACGGATCTTCTGGTCTGTAAGTGGACGCTGTAACCCATTGAACCATGCTGGGTTGTGTCCGTGCAACGCTGGCAGTCGCTCATGTCAGATTGTTCGATGGTTAGATGTCTGACCAACACATCTTGCCCCCTAGATGGGTGGCTGGAACATATGTGGCGAATTGCATTTTCCGCCAAACACCGCTGACTTACAGTCAGGCTTTTGAGCCAAATGCTTCGTTCGAGGGCCCTAATCGTCCTGCAGTCTAAGCCTGGGCGCCCTGGCAGTGTCCCAGTCCACGTACAATCACAACACTTACAACTAACAATACTCGCACTACATCAGCTGTTGTGTAGTGTGAGCAGCCTGGTTGCCTCACCTGCTGTGTACAACAGGGAGGGTAAGCGAAAACATCCTACTGCTAACGCCTCCCTTGTGCCTTTACGTATTCCCTCTTCTACCCTACCCCACACTAATTTGAATACTCCCTCGTCAGATTCAGGCACTGACCGCTTTATTCAGTGCACCAGCTGCAGCTTGTGTAAAATCCCTAACAATTCTAAATCTTTTCAAAACCCTGCAGCTGGTCTGCTTAGCTGTTCTCTGGCGTCACTGGTTCTTCGTCGTCTTACGGCAGCACGCGAATCCTGGACCCGTGAGCATCAAGTGGGGTTTTGACGGAGTGGAGGCTGTATTGACCACATTTTCGCATTCCGTTAAGTGTCAAATCAACGCAATTTGTACAGACGACTCAATATTGGTGTTTTTTTTACTTCAAGGTGCATTCCATTCTGTTGATCGGTCAATACGCAGTCTCTGTTGAGTAAACTGTCCATGATCGTACAATCTTTCGGCGTGCTCCTGGTAGCCTCAAGGTGCAAGGTCATGCTTCATAAGATGCAGTCTCTGAACATACCCTTGACTATTCAAGGGAAATCATAGGAGGTTGCAGGGAATTTCACAT